CCCAGGTCTCGGGCTCATTAGATACATGTTCTATCTTCCAAATTAACTCCAGTGTAACCAACCATTCCAAAAATTCGTGAGTGGCTTAACACAATAATTATTTATTATTGCTCACATGCCCATGGGTTGACTGAGGTTCAGCTGATAGGCTGGGTCCGCTGGGTGGCTCTCTCTCTTTCTGTAGGCAGATGGAAGTAGGTAGGTAATGCTTCTTAAGTCCTGGGTTTTCAACTGCCATACTATCATTTCTACCCACATGCCACTGGCCAAAGCAAGTCACATGGTCCAACCCAAAGCCAAGGGCAACTGTGACGAAATCATGACAAGAGAACAAATACAGGGAAGGGTAAGGAGCTGCGGACAGTACTCCAATCTGGCACCCCCCCCCCCAGGATAAAAGTGGGAATCTCTCCTATGTGCTGCCATAACTTAAAGAATTTATCCTTTCAGAGCCTTTGTGTGATTGTTTTTTGTTTCCTTCTACCACCAATTAGACTAAGTTCCAGAAGAGCAGGGGTCATGTCACCATTATGCTTTTAGAGCCCAGACAGTGCCTGGCACATAGTAAATGCTCAGTAAGTACTTGTGGACCAAGCAAATGACTAGATAAATGGATGAGTGTTTTCCTGCTGGGCAGCTGGCCAAGTGAGATCTGCAGGGACTGAGAACGAAGTGCTGATTTGGAACCTTGTCTGGCCATTTAATTTGAACCTTCAAGATTGTCATCAGTATGTCTTCTTAGGAAAATAAAAGCTTACCTTTGCGTTTGAACTTCAGAGGAGTAAAGTGATGCTTGGCATTTGGGAGACACCACGGACCAAAAAAGGGTAATAAAAAGAAAAAAAATGGAAGCAAAGGGAAATTGTTGAGTGGGAAGAGCTGATGAAATACCTGTGTGGGTTTTCATGCTGCTTTCTCTCTTTTTCTCGAACTTTTTCTTTCAGAAAGGATGAGTGGAGGAGTTCTAAATAGTTGTCCCTGGGGTGCGCAGCCTGTCACTGCCTGTGTTTGTAGTCAGAGCCAAGAATCAATGGGGGAGGAGGCTCTTGGTGTAGCCAAACCGCCCTGTGAAATCTTTTTGGGGGGCTGTGTGACCATCTTGGGGAGCCATGTGGGACGGACTGATGTCTCCTGAACCCGTTCACGCCATCCTTCTGTCTGGTGGGGGGCTGCAGATAACGGGGGCAACATGGCAAAATCTCTCCCCTTCCTGACCCACTCTTCTCCCCTCTACTCTGGCACACTTTTTTTTAGCCTTGCAAACATGTTGCAGTGCTTGTGGCTGAAAGGAGAGAGAAATATTTAAATTCCACCTGACTTTAAGGTTGTTGAAAGGAGGATGACTCCCTCTCTCTGGACAGCCTAAACCTTCTCTACTTTCCCAGACAGCCCTTTACTTTGGCTAAGTCTCATGATTTTACTCATGTTGTGTCACCCCTACACGCCGGCCCTTATTGCCCACGTTCAAGGGGCCTCACCCCGTCCAGCCTGCATGCAGGGAAGCATCCTAAGGAGCACAGGCAAGGGGAGGACACTCATGGGGATTCAGACGCCAGCTACTTACTAAAGGTGTCACCTGGGGGGATATTTAACCTCTCTGAGCTTTCATTTTCTCATTTATAAACTGGGGAGAAGCAGAGTGTTGTTGGGGATGGGGGGCGGTTTAGACACAGGGTATAGAGCACAGAAGATGCTCAGTGACATGTAAATATTGAGGTTATAGGGTGTGTTAATTAACTTCATGGTGGGAAGCCATTCACAATGTGTACCTATATCAAATCATCATCATATTGTACAGGTTAAGGATCTTACGATTTTATTTGTCAATTATACCTCAGTTAGTCAGGGGGAGGGAAGTGCTCAGTGTACAACTTATTAAAAAAGAGACCCATTTAAGGGCTTCACCTTCTTCAGACTTCTCAGGCAGAATTGTTCTCTCTCTCTCTCTTTTTTTTTTAAGATTTTATTTATTTATTTGAGAGAGTGAAAGAGAGAGAGAGCATAAGTAGGCAGAGGGAGAAGCAGGCTCCCCGTGGAGCAGGGAGCCTGACGCGGGTCTTGATCCCAGGACCCTGGGATCATGACCTGAGCTGAGGGCAGATGCTTAGCCAGCCAGGCACTCTAGAATTTGCTCTCGTGTATGATCTTCTGTTATTCTATGGATTTATTCTTGCTTGCCCCACCAAATTAAATTCCACAGTGAATAGAAATCATTTATTTTATTTCTTTTGTATCCCTTATAGTGTTTGGTGTATGGTAGGTGTTGATTAACTATATAATGCACCAAGATTAAATCTCTGTTTTAAAAATCCTACCTATTTTATCTTACTTATTTATTTTATTTTTTAAAAACTTACCTATTTTAAATGTTGTACAAAATGTTCTATTTTGTGTTCAGTTTCCAGGTATTTGAGGATACAGGATAGAGTTTCAAAGATCTCTTTTAAGATGCCTTACAGTGACATGTGACATCGGGATTAAGAAAAATATTTAAGGAGCCTGGGATTCTGACAGAGTTTGTTTACTCAACACATTTTTTAAAAAAGATTTTGTTTATTTATTTGACAGAGAGACACAGTGAGAGAGGGAACACAAGCAGGGGGAATGGGAGAGGGAGAAGCAGGCTTCCCGCCGAGCAGGGAGCCCGATTGGGATCACAACCTGAGCCGAAGGCAGACGCTTAATGACTGAGCCATCCAGGCACGCCTATTTGACACATTTTTATTGAATGCCTACTGTATGCCAGGCTGGCTGTGCCAGGTACTGAAACCTGATGAACAAGACAGAAAAATAAAAATCAAGCAAACAGGCAAAAACCACTCTGCCTACATGGAGCCCCATGTTCTAGTGGTTACTCGTATTGGAAGATAGCACAACATCTCTTGGACTTGAATTGAGAAAGAAGCACTGAGAGATCGAGTTTCTGAAAGTAAAAGATTTTTAAATCTAGACTTATTTGACTACCCCTCGGGTCTTTGCATGGTATCGTGTATGATAATGCAGGCACAGGAGGGATGGGGTTTAAGAAAGCCTTGAGTGCTCTGTTGGTGGGGATGTACAAAGGTGTAGCTACTGTGGAAAAACACTATGGTAGTCCATCAAAAAATTAAACAGAATTGCTGTATGAGTCAGCCATTCTGCTTCTGGATATATGACCAAGAGAATTGAAAGCAAGGACTTGAACAGACATTTGCACACTGCTGTTCATAGCAGTATTGTTCACCGTAACCGGAAGGTGGAAGCAATTCTAATGTCTATCGATGACGAATCAACCACGAATGAATGGATGAACGAAATGTGGCATACATGGTCAATGGAATATTATTTAACCTTTGTAAGGAAGGTAATTCTGACACTGGCTACCACATGGATGAACCTGGAGGATATTATTCTAAGTGAAATGAACCAGGCACAAGAAGACAAATACATATGATTATTCTCATATGAGGTACTTAGAGTCATCAAATTCATGGAAACAGAAAGCAGAATGGTGGTTTGCCAAGGGCTGAGAGGGAGAGAAGAATGGGGGGTTATCATTTACTGGGTACCAGGTTTTTGCTGGGAAGGAGGAAAAGAATTCTGGAGATGGATGGTGGTGATGGTTGCACAATAATGTGAATGTATTTAATGCCATAGAATTGTACACTTAGAAATGGTTAAAATAGTCAATTTTAGGCTCTGTGTTTTACCACAATTAAAAAAAAAAAAACAACCAAACATCTTGAGGAAGAGCTCTGGGAGATAGGTCCTTTAAACCGGGAATTCTGGGGGTAGTAATCTGCCCTTTTCTTTCCCCTGTGCATGAGCGGCTCAGGTCGTATGCAGATCTGGGGTCACGCCTGAGAAGATTCATTCTGGGCCCTGGTGATTGCTGTCAAACTTAATTTGAAGAAATTCTTTGCCTCGCAACCTATGCCCATTCACAAGCGGAAATGGGTTTTCTTTTCCCTCCTGAATTTCAGCACCGTTGGAACCAGTTCTCGGTTTGTAGACTCCCATCTCCACAGTGGAGCAGTGTTCAAGGTGGGAGGGTGATGAGAAGGAGTTAATCTAAGGCAGTGACCTTTTTCTGCAAAAGTGTAGAAAGGCTCATTTGCCACCTGCTTGGGATAAGGCTTCCCAGGGGCTCCACACAGGGGCCCCAGAACCTACCCCCCCATCCCAGGCAGTCCCTGAAACCATAGCTTCCAAGGCCACCGGGCTTTGAGTCTCTTGAGTTTTCCCTCAGGATAAGATGCACTTTGTGGGGCTTAGAATGAGGGGGTGCTTGGGAGGAGCCAAACCCTTGGAATATCGCAGCAGTGTTGAGAGATTTGAATTGACTGCTTGACCCACAGAAGAGGCAGGCTTCACCTGGGCTGCATTTCACGAGGCTGAGAAGGTTGGTGAAAGAGCTTCTGCTTTTGTGGATGCCAATTCCAGACTACGCCCTTGAGGACTCTCTAGGACTGAAGAGAGTTCTTGACAACAGATTGACATACTCCAAGAGTTAAAAGATACATTACTGTAGCCACTTGTCCCAGGTCGAGTGCTTTATAAATGTTACCCTGTATAATCCTCCTAACTTTTATGAGGTATCATTGCAGACATGAGGAAGCTGAGGCACAGAGAGGTTCAGTAACTTGCTGAAGGTGACCCAGCCTGTAAGAAATGGAGCCAGGCAACCGGGTGTCAAATCTATCTCTAGCTCTGTCTGTAGAAGACGTGCAACCTTTGGTGCCATCTGACATGTCTGCTAGGCTTTATAGAGCAGCCACAGCTTGAGCACTGGAGACTCGTTCTAAGTCTTCCTTCTGAGAAGAGGGGAGCCAGCACATTCTAAATTGGGTCAGCCTTTGGGGGAGCAAACACCTAAGCTTCTTGGAGTCAATCAATTGTATCTGCAGGGACGCGTGGTGTGGAGACAAGCACAAACCTGAAACACCATACCCCAGATGGCAAATCCATGATGAATGCCCATGAAAGAGACCATCTGCTCAAAGGGATTCCTCTTTTTTTTTTTTTTTTTTTGCAGGAGTGGAATGATCTGATGGAAAGAACAAAGTTTTAGAGACAGAGGTCCGGCTGTGTGACCTTGAGTAAGTCACTTTATCTTCATGAGCCTAGTTTCCTTACTGCAAACTGGAGCCAATACTACCTTCTCATAGGGTGTTTATATGGAATGAATGAGATAATATAGGGCTGGTGGGATGATCAGTCAGTGGGGAGAGGTGACATTCCTAGAGGATGTCCAGGATGGAGGTTGGGAATCTGGCGCTGTGCTCTGGGATGGGAACCCCGTAAGAGCAGGAGATGCGTTTCCTAGCTGGGTGGAGCACCTGAAAGATCAGGGACTTGGGAGTCAGCCCCTTCTGGGTTCAGCTCCTAGCTCTGTTGCCTGCCGGCTCTGTGACCTTGGAAAACCACCCAAGTTTTCTAAATTCAGTTTTCTCATTAATACAATCAGCATATTGATACACATCTTCAGGACTGTCAGTTTTTATAAAATAATAAATGTAGAGGGCGTTAAAAAATGCTGCTTGTCCCCCAATCCCCTAGTTTATAGCTTCATCTGTAAAACAGCAGTGATAATATCCATTTCTGAAGGTTTATAGCAGAAAAACATCATCCCAGTGTTTATTGCACCTGTAATGGTAATTTTTCGCCGTAAACCTTGTCAAATCACCATAACTGCAAAAGGAGGGACGGAATCATGGTGACTGGACCTCATTCGGGAGGCACTCTAGTAGCCAGACAAGGGGGAAATTCTTCAATTTCTCTTCTGTCAAAGTCATTCCTGTGTGTCACTGGTGCATGTCTAACCTTTGTGTTGGGATTTGGGGACCTGGATTTTGGGGAGGACAGAGCTGAGGAAGTCTTTCTTCTCTTCTTTCCCTTCTTTCTGTCTATAAAATCACGTCTTGACATCATCCTCCAGTTGTGACCCAACAGTGGGGCACTTTCGTTCCAATAATAGAGGGAATCTCTAGTGAGTCCATGAATGGGCTTTAAGTGGGGTGCTTGGACCCCTGAAACTATTTTACATTTCTTCCGTTAGAGGGGCCAGAGCATTCGTGAAGCTCCACGATACCCCCACCCCCCCTCAAATGTTAGGAAACTCTGATGGGAGAGGAGATGGATGCAGAAATGCTACCACATTTGGGAACTAAACACAATCTATTTGTGAAGGGATGGGAGGCAGATTTCATTCTAACTTTTCCCACTCTCTTTAACACAGAAGTTGTAGCAGTAAAAAAGATCTAAATCTTTTGTGCAGTTTCTTTCCCCCCAAGTATTTATTTTTGCCCACAGGGGAGGAAGTCCTGTGTCTTTGCCCAGTGGACCCCCATCTCTGGATCTGCCCGCAGGTAAACTCACGTTTCCTAGAAGGTGTTTGTCCTTGAAACCCTTACCTCAGTGATGAATGTTGTCATGAAGAGTCCACAGCCACAAAGAAGCACCCCGGGACTCTGAGTTCTTGAGGTCTCCCTGCCTCTGTGAGATGGGTACTGGTTAGTGACTCTGGGTGGCTGTTAACTTCCCTGTGAACTACTGCAAAAGCCTTGCCCAACACGTACAAACTCCAGATGCCAGAAATCTAGTTGCGTCACTTACAGAGATTTCTTCTAAGTCAGCTTCTCGGGGGTCCTAATTTGTGGCTTTTAAAGTCATTTGGCCCGAAACAAGCATCATAGACCTAATGGCCCTTTTTCGCATTTGTTTTCCATAAATCCAGTCCAGCTTAGGTGAACCTCGACTTGGACTGGAAAGAGAATTTGTTTAGTTATGCTGGGCTGTAGGCACTAAATTGGGCCATGTTGTCACTTCTCTTTGGTAATATAAACAAGCGTACAGACTGCTCAGCTCTTGTCAGGGACTGTAATCGGTCAAGTCTGCTTGCTGAGCTATAACTCAGAAGGAAAAAGTCCGATAACTTAGTCTGAGCTTCACCTTCCATGAGCCATCAGTTCATACATCACCCGTGACATAAAAAGGGCTTCATTCCCACTCGAGTGAGCCCCAGAAGGGTTTTCCTGGTGTTAAGTTCTTAAAAATAGCATCTGTGCTTAGGACATTATTCTCCAAAATTTTACACAAGTGCCAATGATTCTACTAAATCAGCCTCGCAGCCTAATTCCTCAGGGTTCCTTCTGTTTATTTAGGCCAGAGTGAATATTGAGGAAAGTCATATTTTGCAGGTCAATATTTTATTGCTCCATCCAGCCTACAAGGTGTTCTACATCTTGAACACTGGTCAACAGAGGCTCTGAGGATATAGGTTCACCTGCTGGTCATTTAGAACAGCAATCACTCAGCACATATTTACTGAACATCTACTCTGTGCCAGGCACAGGCTCTGACACATGGACTAAAGGGGAGAAGAGGATGAGGGAGCTCTGGGTCTTCTGCAACACATATTCATATGGAGACGATAAACCAAGTACCTGAAATAATTACCGATCGATCGCAGGACTGTGAAGGAACTAACTAGGATGATGTAATATAAAATAATGAAGATGGGGATAATCAGGGAAGGTGTCTCTGAGACAAGACATTCCAGCTGACCCTGCAGGAGGAGAAGAGATCCGCTGGGCTTGAGGGAGAAGGGAGCCAGCAAAGGACCCTTTCCTCAGCTCAGTATTGCAGGACCGCAACCGCTCAGGGCTTCTTGCTAGAAACCCGAACTTCTGTCTCACTGAAAATATTGCTTGAAACCAGCTAGTTGTGATGTTTGGAGATTCAAAACATTATCCTGAGTACTGGAGCTTTTTTCGAGAAGAATCCCCTTCCGCCGACCCCCTGCTGGAGACTGGGGGTTGTTCTGCCTGCAGGAAGAGTGAACCTAGATCACCCCCCTGCCTGGTTCACCACAGTCCTGGGAGAACACCAAGAACGAACTTTGTTGATCCACAGGCTCCCAGTGGAGAAATTACTTCCTGGTTGTAAATTAGTCACCGGGGGGAGTTGGTTTTCCTTCCAGAGGTCAGGCGTGCTATTTAGCACCATGATTCCCAACTTAGGGAGAACCAACCGGGATGCCCTAATGTCGTGTTAGAGTTCATGATTACCTCATTCTCTGAAAGTGCTATGAGGCTTGTGCTTGTTTTGAACATTTAACTGGATATAAAATTCATTTCACTTTGAGGAGTTTTGAGAAATTGATGAAACCCCAGATGTTGCAAAACCGTTGCTAGGGATTGAATAATGAATGTAATGATCTGTTCAGGACTCTGAACCAGAAAGAAGAATAGCTAGTTTCTTAAGATGCGTATGTAGCTCAGGAAGGGAGGTAATCTAATGATCTGAAATAATGTAAACTTGGAAGAAAAAAAAGTGTGAGGTTTATATATCCATTTGAGTACAATGGTGGGTGATGTGCCTTAGCTTTGGGAAGTACCCACAGTTCCTGGGATCACACCACCACCCACGGAGAAATCCCGGAGCTGCTCTCCTCTGATGGCCACGGTGACGCTGGACCCCATTCTTCCTTCCACGGCCCTGGAGACTCTCCCACTCCTTCGTGAAGCCCATCACAACATGCCCTGAGAGATGCTCGGTGAAATTTTTTACTTACTCACTGTTATGGGTTGAATTGCATTCCCTAAATGTTTGAAGTCTTAATTCCCAGTGCTTGTGAATATGACCTTATTTAGAAAATAGGATTTTTACAAATGATCGATCAAGTTAAGGTCATCGGTTAGGCCCTAATCCAATGTGACTGTGTCCTTATGAGAAGGGGAAATTTGGGCAGAGAGACATGCACAGAGTGATCACAATGTGAGGATACAGGGAGAATGCCATTCACAAGCCAAGAAATACCTGAGGCCACCAGAGGCTGGGTGATGGGCATTAAGGAGGGCACTTGATGTAATGAGCACTGGGTGTTATATGCAACTGATGAACCACTAAATTCTACCCCTGAAACTAACAATATAGTATATGTTAACTAAATTGAATTTAAATTAAAAAATAAAAATAAATAAATAAAAGTGATATTGCCATGGGGGAAAAAAAAAGAAGAAACTGGGTGAGAGGCTTGGGGCAGATTCTCTCCCACAGCCCTTAGAAGGAGCCAACATGGCCGATGCCTTAATTTCGGACTTCCAGCCTCCAGAACTCTAAAACAATACATTGCTGTTGGTTAAGCCATTCAGTATTGTGTTACTTTAGCCCTGGGAAACTAATACACTTACCATGGGTTTTCTCAATACAAAGTAAACACATACACGATACAAGAAACTTCTCAGGCCCTTTGGCTTCTGAGGGGCCCAGAACTCAAAAGTCTTTGTCATTCCTGCCATCATGGTCATTGTCACTATTTATTCTGAGCCAAGCCCTGTATTAAATGCTTTATTTCCAGTATTTAATTTATTCCTTAAAAGGGTATCAATATATCCACTTTACAGGAGGGTACTCTGAGATCACTCATCTGATCAGTGATGGGACTTGGGTCTTAACTACTATAGAGGGGGGCCCAGGACCTGGCTTACGGGCCTCTGAAGGACTGGGAGTAATTATTCATACTAAAATACACTTCCTTATGTGTAGAGGAGTCTTTGGTGGTGGCCTAGGAATCCATCCACCAAAGACACGATCATGTTTTTGAGAAAATATGTTCTGGATTTCATATAATTGACTTGCTAATGAATCTTTGAAACATGTTCCTTAGTTGTTTAGAAGTTACCCGGATCACTAAATTGAAGTATTGCTTTACTTACAACAGTTATCCAGAAGTTTTAAAAATATGCAGAGGTGTGCTATGTTTTTTGCTAAATAATGTCAGCAGATTTAAAATATATCTTTTCCTGCTGGATGAAGCGAAGTGCTAACGGGCTATTTGATTATGGCTTAGCAGGATGGGGGGCGGGAGGTGACAAATGCCTTATGTTTTGGCACAGGTGCTGACTTTTACAAATTAAAAATAGGGATGACAAGAGAGAAATCCTCAAAAAATCAAATAACCAGCCTTTTGAGACTGATGAAGATGGCCCTCTCCATTCCTTTTTCTCCCCATGAATATTTGATTCAAAATAAGGAGCATAATCATGATATATAAATATACAGAATTAGTTTTTTCTAACTTAAAAACCCCATATATGGAATTACTGCAGAAAATTATAATCACAAGGTTGGCATATACTTTGATTATTATAAAAGTTACATAATAGATAATCAAAAGAGACATAATCTAATTTTCTTGGTCAACATATTTTCTGTGGTACTGTATTAATCAGATCTTAGTCACATACAAGTGTGAGAAGCTTATGTCAAACTGGCTTAAAAAGGGGACAGTGAGGGATTAATCAAGTCACCTAATTGAAAAGTCTAGTGCAATTTCTATTGCTTAGTAAGGATAGATTTATGGACCTAGAACATAGCCAGTCTCACCCGTTGCTAATAAATATGTGGCGTGAATGTAAATCTAAATTTCATAGTTCTCTGTACATTACCTTTGGATTGTAACAGTTTGAAATTACCCAATGTCAGCAGAAGAATGGCAGCATGAAGATACACTGTCCACATTGTGTAATTTTTTTTATTACCACTAATGTGTTGGTTGATTTTGAATGCCAGAAGAGATATTTTTTAAATTTGAAAAAATTAAAATTTGCTCATAATGTTTATTTTATCTTTAGATGTTAAGAAGAATGGAAAATGGACACAAAGTTAACTGGATCACTCTAACCCTTCCAAATAAAATATATATGATATCCCCAGATAGTGCTTGACCTTCATCGTGTGCCTGAAAATGGCCAGCTTTGATGGAGTTGTGTTTGAACTGCACAGTTCTTTGCAGGCATTTATCAGGCCTCTTGGACTCTTGTGAGTAAGGGAATGTTTTTATCAGTCCTACCTTTTAGACTTCTGAATGTCCCATTAAGGTGATATGGGTATGTCCCTACAGTTTGAGATGAGGCATAGCTTCCATGCTCTGGATTAAAAGGTGGATAGGTATGAGTTAATAGGTACTTTTGCTGTTTGATGGCAGAGAAATGTCTTTGTCAGGTGAAGATATTTTTCTTGTTTCAGAATCATGGAACTTGAGAGAGCCAAATTCTACAGACTCCATGTGACAAATATTGTGGTCAGGGCTGAAGAAAACTTCACTGGTTGGTTAGGAGACAGTGGGTTGCCACGGAAAGAGCACAGGAATGACAATCTGGGTTTTAGTTCCTATTCTGACATCATCTTGGAGGCTTTTCTGGAAGGATGGTGATGCCGTTCACCAGGGCAGAAGGTATAGGAGGAGGAACAGGAGCGAGTTACACAGTCCCACACCCAAACTTCCATCTCATTTCTATTTGCGGTTGGAGTTGTGTTTCTGGATTGTCACAGCACTAAGATACTTTATCAATCCCTTCAGAAGTGGTAGGAACAAAACTCTCTCCCTCTCATATTGTGCTCAGTCAGGTGGTAACCAGAGGAGAGCTGCTTGGGTCCCAAAGTGTTACTACTCCCTCAATAATTACGGTCCCACAGACCAATAACACTGGTGTGAATGCCCATTTGTGGGTGGCTGTGGTGGGTTTCAGTATCAGCTTATTCAGAGGCCTCCAATCACTTAGGCTGTGGCATTCTGAGTGAGGTTTTCAGAATAGAAACCACATGGTATGTTCTAATAATCAGGTCTCTGTAGGACTGAGACCAGTTTATTGTTTTGCATTTTCCTGCTCATGAGGACAGGGATTTAGAATCTGAATTCATTTTCCACCAGGAAGCTCAACAATGCTTAGGAAATCTGTGTAGGCACATAAATATATGTTAAGAAAAAATGTTGTCCATCTTCATTCACCATCAAGCAACCGAGTCCCTAGTGAAAATGGTCAAATTGTAAGAGATAATTCCCCAATCCACTGTGGGGACCACCATTGGCCCAAAGTCCAGCAAAAATATCCTCTTACATTTGTTTTCAGCCTCAGAAAGCCCTCAAATTTGGCAAATAAAAATTCTGATGAGAAGGGTCAGTAGACTCCTACGGGAGAAGAGGCCCCTTCAACGCAGTGTGGTTTTCCAGGTTTTCTCATCCGACTGTCTACTCGCTTGCCCTGGTTGAACACATCCTACAGCATTTTGTGGAGTCAACAGTGATTATAATGCCATGAAAGTTCAAGCTGGATTGACAGAGTAAAGACAGAGACATCACAGTCTTCAACAGGACACAGGGAGTTAATGAGAGGCATATGCCAAGACCAGGAATGTCGCTTCTCACTGAAAAGATCGCACAAATCTCTCTTATTTCTTCTCTCTAGAACATTAAGTATGATGGTGACCAGGGCTGTAACCCGTGTGTGGGTTTTTTGTTGTTGTTGCTGCTGTTCTTTTTTCTATTCTTGTTTCATGACCCTATTACATTTCTAAAGGGTGCTCAGTAAACAAAGTCCCAGGGTGGCAGAAGAATACAGTTGCAATCCCATTTACAGACGGAAGCCAGGAGTTGGAGCCCTAACTACCACGTGGTAACTGTGTGACTTTGAGCAAGTCATCGAACTCTGTCCCCCAAAGGAGGGTGATGGTTTCAAACATCCCATGTGGCGGTTGTATCAAATGAGGTGATGGATGAGAAAGGGCTTTGTACAATGGAAAACACTGAACAAATACTATTTGCTACTACTGGTCAATTCAGCGGGGAAATGGTTCTATGCACTTGACTCCCATTGGCTTTCTCCGTCCCTCCTTTGGGATAACTAACTTCTAGGAGCCCCAGCAAGATGTGCCCCAGTGTAGAAATAATCTCACCATCGCCTACCATAGGAACACTAGGGAAGCACTCGGGCCCTCGAGGACACATTTGTAGTAACATTTCTGGGCTTTCTATCAAGTTGAGAACTCATGTCAAAAGGCCTATGCTTGACCAAACTATTTTTTTTCTCATTCTTCGCAGCACCTAAAAAGGATCATATAGTCCTAATTAGGCCTAGGGAGGCCCACAAAAGAAATGTGTTTCCAAGAGCTTTGGATTTATGAACTAAAAACTGTAGGCTACTGTGTATTTTAATATATGCAGAGAGACAATTAAGTTAACTTTAGGTATGGTTTTGGAAAACAGTGTGGGCAGCATTCAGCTGAGCATATAGCCGTTCTCTGTCAAAAACCAAACTGGAATGACATTTTTGGAATCCACTCACTCTGTTAAAAGCAACCAACCATCTGAAAACACTCAATGAATTGGAATAAAGTTGTATAAAGTTTTGTGATCCTCAGGAGAGGAACAAAAATTTGGAAGAAGGTTCAGCTGCTAAACTGCAGGAACAGACAATCCACAAAGAAGGGAGTTAAATGGACTACGATGTGTGAAAGAACGTTCACCCTCACTGAACAAAGACATGTCAGTTGAAAAAACAACAAAATGCCTTTAACAGAGATAAAAATAAGTTCCAGTACTCAGTGTCTGCCAGGTTCTGTAAAAACAGGCACTCTTGTATCCTGTGGGTGTGAATGTAAATTAGTACGATCTTTTTGGATTGCAATTTGGCAAGATCCGAAGTGAAACTTTAACTTCCTAACCCTGCTTCAAGAAATTTGTTCTCAGAAATTTATAGATTGA